CCGCCCCCCCCCCCCCCCCACGCATTAGCAAGTGAAGGAGCTAATGTGTTGGAGAGTCTCATCAATGTTTGTATCGAATAAATTAAAGATAGAAAAAATATGAATTTTTTTTATTAGGTATATCGGACTCTTCTTTTATATTAGATAATTGTAATTGTAATATTATTAATACCTCTCCTCTCCCTATTAGTAGACACCCAGCGTTATCACTACTATGTAATGCTCATATTAAGTAATTAATATAATATCTTGTTAACCAAAAATAATAATAATGGAACAAATTGGGTGTTGAGGAACAAAAACAACCTAGAATTAAATAATTTAAGAATAAGTGTATATCACAAGGTAGTGAAATTATAATATATATATCGCAGATTCTTCATCTTCCTTCATTGTAAAACGTAAAGTTTGCATTCCATGAAATAGTTCACTAGGTTTTAGTACCATTTACAGTGGTTATCGACAATCGAAAGAGGAGAGGAGAGGAGAGGAGAGAGCATGCCCTCGAGGAAATATTATTCTCTTATTCTACATTCCCTATTTACTTAATTGGCGATGTTTTAAATTCTATTCAGGAAAATATTTTTCATCAGTAATTTTTATAAATATATTTTTTTTCATACCAAACACGCCTTTTTAAGTTTTGTTCTAAATTATCTATTAGTAGCTATAAGTGTTAAAATCTAATGCGCGTAAATGATCATCTTGGTCATTATTTATCCTTAATAAATATTGAGAGAGAGATTAATCTGATAGACAAGAACAAAGTATTAAATTGAGATCAAGATTAAATAAAGATAACAACAATAACATACTCAGTACAATCTCATAATATAAGATCTTAGGAGGATAAAATGTACTTGGACCTTACATCAAGTTACACTTTATAATTTATAATACCTTATTATGAAGCATGAAAAAAAACATGACACATAAATAGACCGGATAGAGTATCCCTATGACGATAGTATTAACACATGGTGTAGTGCTAAGTACTCTTTCATCCTTAACCAAACATGTTGGGTTCGAGTCCCCCGAGTACGAAATCTCCTTTGTTAGAGAGTGTTTTACCCCAATGTAGGACTTCAATTTCCGGCGCAGATCTGAATATAGTCGAACTTCAATATCGAACACCAGATAGGAAATTAAACCAGGAAAAAAGAAACATGTTTATTCATCCAACATGTACGAAGCCCCCTTTGTTAGGAAGCGTTTTACCCAATGTGGAACTTTGACTTTCGATGCGAATCTGAATATAGTCGAACTTCAATATAGATACCAAACACCAGATAGGAAATTAAACCAGGAAAAAAAAACATGTTTAATTCATCCAACATTTCCAAACACAAATCAATACACATATAGTAGTAATAAATATTGCTTTTACAAAATGAAAAAAAAACAAAAAAAAAAAAACTGCAAAATAAATTTAAATATTTTCATGATCAAATCTCCTTAGGGTCAGCGTATTTTTGTAAAGCATCACCAACCATTTTCCCATACCTAAATTCTTCAAATATTTCAACTCCCATATCAACATAAAAATCATATGATTTTTTATTCCAAACAGCCACAATTCCCTCAACTGATGAAAATCCATTATTTGCAGCAATTGATGCAACTGTCCCAAACAACAACCTTCCCATGCCCAATTTCCTATAACTTTCCCTAAAATAAAGACTCTCAAAATAAATCCCAGCCTTATCATAAAAACACGAATAATTCGCGTAAAAAAATGAATATCCAGCAATAAAAACATCGTTTTTATCATCATCATTGATCGAATTGGACTTGAATTCATCGGCTTCTTTGTCTACGACATTTGCCCTTAGGTCAAATTTTTTTAGGACAGGCTTAAATTTTTCGCCTTTACTATCAATATCTGAAAAAGGCGTTGGCGATACTTCAAGTAGAAGTATTGAAGGACCATAAAATAAAGGACTAGGGTTTGTTTTATTGAATAAAAGGTCACAAAGGGAGGATTCAGTAGCTTTGTAAAGATGAGTGTAATTATGATATTCATGAATTTGGTAAAAAAGTTTGTATATATGATGTATATCATTTTCATTTGCAAGTCTAACTCTAACATAAACTTTTTCAGTAATTGTGAGGGGGTTTTCAATTGTAGCCATGATGATATATAATAATAATAATAGATGGATGGATGGATGAAGAAAAAAAATTGAAGTGTTTTTGTTTTTGGTTATGATGAGATATGTTTGAATGAATATGGTTATTTATAGTTGAAAATTTTGTGTTGTTTTTGTTTTGTTTATTTGTTATTTTTTGTTTGGTTGTTGGTGGAAAAGTATATTAAATTAAAATTATGAGGCGTATTCAACTATTCATGATGTGCAAGTTAGTGTGTGTTTGGTATGGAGGATGATGATGTTTTATAATTTTGTATGTTTTTGTAAGTTAAAATATTTTTGAAAATGAGTTTCTCGTTGTTTGCAATAAATTTTAAATATATGGAAAATAAATAAATCACACAAATAAAATCTAAAGAAATATGATTTTTTTTATTGATAATAGTGCAGGTATAATTTTGTTCCTCCCTTGATTTTCCTCTCATAAGATTTATTCATGATTCGAGGGCCGTTAGTGGCGTATTTCTCGAACTACGATGATTTAGATTTGACCTCTATATGAATATTTCATGACTTTTGTAGAATATATCGAGATGCCTTTTAAAGGAATTTAGTACCCTTTATATAGGCATGACATGAACTAGGATTTAGGGTTGAGTAGCCTCCAAGAAATCTAATTGAAACTGAATACACCTTCTAAACCCCCATTCGAATTGAACTCATCTTGTAGAGTCCCGCAAAATTTCAATGTCTACACTCGTAAATGTGGAAAATAATTTCTTTAATAAAAATAGAAAAAACAGGTTCTATAAGTAACATTTCAAGTTCATCGTCTGCTTGCTATCTTTTGATCATCCCACCTCTAAACCACCCATTCCCTATCTCATCATGTCCACGTAATATTTTTCTAGATTACGTAATAATAAACTCACATATTTTTCTATTAAAAAAAATGTGAAAAATATTTTCCTTCGTGCCAAACATAGAAGAGATAGTTGAATTTGGTTGAGTTGGTGAAAGGTGAGTAGTGAGTACCATGTCCACGTACTTTGCTGGCTCATCATACTTTCCTATTAAATAAATTTGTTTTGAAAGGGACCATCTAATAGTTCTCCTTTAAATTATTATTTTTGTGGGGAAATCATAAAGCTATTTTGTATTTTATTTGTTAATTTATTAAATATTAAGCAGATAAAAAAAATGAGGCAGAGAGTCGATAAACTAGTTGATTGACTTGGCATGTGTTATTTAATAGTATTAAAAATGTTTTAAAGTTGAGATTAGGCAAAATTATTTTCTGTTTTTCTAGTTACTAAATTTATTTAGCACTTTTTGTAAAGACAATCTGTCGGATTTTTTACAAAAAGTGTTATCGGACACTATACTTTTTACAACCATCATCATTGATCACCACCCAAAAAAAGAAAAAAACACTGATACATAATAGTTTCTTCTTTAAAGTTACAAATATATAAAAATTTGTATATTAAGTGAAAATAGTGCAAAATAAATATCTACTTGGAACCTCAATAATAACACCACCAAAGTGACATACAAGAATTGTAATAACTAGCACAAATTATTTACGAAAAATCTTATGTACGCCACTAAATACAATTCGTTAATGAACTCCAATCGTGCAAACTTTATAGAGTATATATAAGTTATCCTTCATCATAGTGTATAAGTTATTCATAGAGTTAACAAGAGACAAGTAGTTGTGTGACCTTGGGTACGAAGTCGCCTTGAGCGTTTTACCCTTAGCGTGAATCCGAATATAATTGAACTCTAACGTGAATATCAAAAAAAAAATAGTCGTGAGACATTTTCTTCTAATGTGAGAAAATGGCCAAACAATCCAACCTACCACCTACCTACCTATCACTATAATTGACTAATGGTATAAAAAAATCAACCTGCAACCATCAAAGTTTGGTGGAATGGATAACATCTTTGTTTTATGGATAGGCGGAATCAGAATTTAAATTAATTTTATAGATTTTAAATTTTAAAATAGTGAAACTAAGGGTTAATAATTAAGTATAATTGAACTCATACAGGACTTTTAGCTTCGCCTCAATTATTATTAATTAACTAAAAAATTTAAGTTTGCAACCCAAAAATATAAATGTACTGATAACAAAATTCCTTATTTTTCAATGAATTTTACATAATACAAGTATAAATTAATTACCTACCTATCACTACAAGTCATCAACTAGAAGGTGACTTGCATGTCTAATATATTAAATAAATATCATATTGATATGGTCCAAGCAATGTTTGATGAGCATGGTATTTTCATTACAAAATCTACTAATAATACTATAGGAAATCTCATTTTTAATGTCCTAGAAATTTTGATTCTGTCTCGATCCAATATTAAACTTTTATGGTAATAAAAATAATAATATCGTGATTAGTCACTTTTATTTTTCCTATTTATATGGTACGATTCAAATTTTTAATTTTTTATTGTAAATAGATTGAATTAACAAAAAGAGAATTTTTAAAAATGACTATTTATGTTTAGGTTTAATTAGAGATCTATAATTATAGTTTGCTTAATTATGATTTATAATTACATGTTAAAAGAAGAAAAGAGACAAGCAAGATCGGAAAAGGGAGGAGAGAAGCGAGCGAGAGAAGGGACAAAGAAAAAAGACGCCAATCATATTTGTATATCTACTAGATAATTATGTATATGTATCTAATATATATAGATTTATAACTAAGAAAAAAAAAATTTTGAAATCATAGATAAAATAAAATTGAATAAACCCCTAGATCGTAACTAGCTTCGCTCCGTGTACTTGTCTCTACGTTCGGGCAAATATTACCAAACAAACATCTTGCAAGTTGTGAGACACACCTCAAACTTTCATTGACTTTTTCTACTCAATTTGGTAAAATAGTCAAACTTAACAACTTACCAACTTTACCAAAATCATCTTATTATTTTAATAATTACAATATTCGACATGCAGGCCAATTAAACTTGGGAAGAAACACGTATGACCTACAATTAAGTAATCACTTACCCTAAATGTTTATATTTTATAAAAACACCCATCATTTATTACTATCAAGTTGACAAGCTTTAAAAAACACCACAAAGACACGTATTCAACTTATGTAATAGTATTGTTACATAGAACTTGTTAATTAAAGTAATGTAAATATAAAAATTGGATGCTTCTCTTTGAGTTGAATTTTTTTTACTATATCCTACATTGATATATGAAATCGTTAATACGTAGTTTGGAACTTATAATTTATATATGGTTTAATTTTTATCACCGAGCAAGTCCATTATAAAATGATAATATAAATTGTTGGGTTCTCCGCAGTTTTGTGGTTGATGAAGTGACATGAAACGGGTAAGTCAAGCTGGTTCAACGGTGCACTGTCTCAAGGAGCTGAATTTGTAGCAAGATCATAAAAGATAAGTGTGTAGAAATTAAGGAATGGATAATGCTAATTTCTAATAAACCTGAGGAGACAAAGATGTGTTGAATTGAAGAGTTGAAGTTTGAATTGAAGGAGTTTCACTTGAAGTGGAACTCTTAAATCAAGAAAGTTCGAGTCAATGTGGAATTTGAAGCAAAGAACAACCATTTGAAGAGTTGTGTTTAAATAGAACTATAGAAGTGAAGTCGTGAAGAATATATCTGCACTTACATATCAAAAAGAACAATTGAAAATTTGGCATCACAAGTGTTACCAGAAGATTAAAAGAACACATTAATAAATCAGGTCTTGGGCTTATGTATTAAAAGATCTTCATTGAGTTGTAATGTTGATGTAATCTTAGTTCATGGATTGAACTGACCCACAATCTGTCTCTTCAACCTTTGAGTAGACCATAGGCGGGACTCTCTTTCGCCTAGGCAGAGAGGAGGGAATGTAAGACGAGACTGATTCAAGAGTCTTGGACAGAAGGGAGGGGACGGAGACGGAGCTTCCTTCTTGACTTTCATCATTTCAAGAAAGCTTATTTGAGCAGAGAATTTCCTTTTAGTACAATTTCTTTTTATAATTAAATTGAATAAGAAGATTTGTCTTCAAGTTAAGATAACTCAAAGACTTGGGAACACATACCTTAGGAGATTTATGTTGAAGTTTAGGAATTAGAGTTAGTTCTTAAGATTGCAAGAGTTGTAATCTGAATTTATAACTTGAAGTATGTTTGATCATTTGATTGATTGTTGATGTTTAGGAATTAGCGTTAATTTCTTAGGTTATAGAAAATCTTAAATTGTTGAGGCTTAGTGATTTTGTGAAGTTGAAGTTAAATCTTGTAGGGGTACAAGTCGTGATTTTTACACCTTTTGATTAGGTGTTTTCTACGTACGTAAAACATTATGTTCTTTACTTATTGCTCTTACTGTTGGAAAATGTTAGACCACCAACTTTTCACTTAGGCGAAAAGTTATGTTAAGTAACTAACCTCTAGGTCGTGTAGAATATCACAAATTTGTGAATATTTTTAAATAATTTTTAGAACGTATGAGTATATATCATATTTCTTTAATAATTTACTTTGGACTATTCCTTCTATTTTTGATTTGTTTGTCTGATTACACCAAAACAATATACTTGGGCCATTGCCCATTAGAGGAGGACTGGTTGTTATATTGGGCCAATATGGACGAAAGTCAAGCCCAAGAAACTTTATAAATGGAGTAGGAATTGGACCTGATGAACAAAATCATTTTTAATAGTTGGATGATAAAATCGTGTGTTATTATCGTTGCTATTATTTTTGCGCAAATTATAGAAATACACACTTTTTGCTTCACTTATTTTCATTATTCCTTATTACTTTTAAAAATCTCCAAAATTCCTTATTTCTATCCGAGCTGCATATTAATGTATCCGAGCCAGTATTTAATGTATCTGAGCTATATATTAATATATCCGAGCTAGTATTTTATGCATCCGAGCTACATATTATGTATCCGAGCTACATATTAATGTATCTGAGCTTCAATTATTGTATCCGGTTTTTTTAATTTTTAAGGGATTAATGTAATTAGAAACTTATTAGGGATAGATTGTAATTTCATATTAAAACTATGGGATTTATGTTATTTACCCA